CGACTCTATAGGGCTTCTGAGACTGTAAATGTTTCGGGAACCAATAGACTCATCTTTCTCCTGTGGAGTAGCTTGGGTGAGAACTTCTGACCTTGCAGTAGGCAGCCATGGTAGTTATTAGTAAAGGATAAGATTACCATGTTCTGGCTATCTTACTAACAAGACTATTTGTAGAAACTGATATTCTATCTCGATAGTGGTCCCCTGAAAACTGAGTGGTGTGATTAAAAATCCCACATATGGCCCCTCTTCTCTATTCCCATTTAACTCTGGTACTTTCTACAGCAGAAAATGCCTCACCACTGCCCTAAGAACAAGAATAAAACCAAAAATAAAAACCCTGTAGCTCCTGAGTCATTACAAGATAGAAGAGAACTGTCCCACAGGGTGTCCATGGCTGGAGTTTTTACAGAAGCAGATTGCCACTTCCTTGTCCCATGGAGTGACTGGTGGGTTCCAACAGTTGACCTTTCAGTTAGCTTTAAGTTTCAGTTAGGTTACTGTAACCCCTGAACTACCAAGTTCCCTACCACTACCCTGTTGTTGTTGTTGTTGTTGTTGTTGTTACGAGTTGTGGAGTTGGTTCTACCCCATAGTGACCCTGTATAGAGTTTCCGAGGAGCGACTGATGAGATTGAACAGCCAACTTGTGGTTCAAGCCAACCTGAGGCTGAGTGTTTATCCTACAGCGCCACCCCAGGAGTCCAGAACATCAAAATAGCTTCTGTCTTCAAATTATCTCCTCTCTACAGCATAGTACTTTGGTTAATAAGTAGTTCTAAATTCAACTACCATGTGGTCTTAAGACCTTTCATAATCTGGTTTTCATCCTCCCCACGAATTTTACACCCATCTAATCGGTGCTGTATGATAAGCACTCAACCATAGTGTCAGTTTGAACCGCAAGGCCAGCATTTCAAATTCACCAGCCACTCCTCGTAAACCCTATACAGTGTCACTATGGGTCAAGCCAACTCGACGGCACTTAACAGCAACAATCTTGAGGATCATATTCACTCAAGGCAGAACAACAGCCCCAATGTTCTGTACACAGTTCAGTTGATTTTGACTCATAATGACCCTACAGGACAGAGCAGAACTGCCCCCATGTAATTTTCTAGACTGTAACTTTCATGGGAGAAAATTGCCATGTCTTTTCCCCTGCAGAGCAGCTTGTGACTTCTAGCCACTGACCTTGCATTACCAGGTGAGCATTTGACCACTTCTTGGTTTCAAATGTCAGATCCATCACATTCTCACAAGCTACTGAGCTGCTCCGTGTTTCAGGTTCCTCACCCGCTACATGACAAGGGCAATAAGATCACATGCACCAGAATTTGCTATGGGAGTGAGGTGGCTCCATAGGATAAGTACAAGATCAACCATTCTGAGGGAGAAAGATGAGGCTTTCTGCTCCCATAAGTATGTACAGCCTAGGAAACCTTATGCAGAGTTGCTGTGGGTCGGAACCAACAATGGTACTTCACAACAAGTGTGTTATGAGAATTATCTGAAGTGATCCATGTAAAGCATTCAGCACAGTGGCTGAAACCCAGTAAGTGAAGGAGATGATAAACCTCCACTCAGAACGTACAGTCGGTCATGTTTCTGCAGAACAAATTCAGTCCTGTCCTTGTTCAAAAGCTTGTAATTCATGTCCATTGCCTATAGAATACAGTTCAACATCCTAAGTGTAGGATACTACACTCAATGCAAATTCTCCATACTATGGCTCTCACCTACAGTCCCTACTTCATATTTCATCACTGCTCTCCAAAATCTCCCTGAAATCAGATCCAGCATTGGTGACTCAACCAACCAACACTTTTTTAACATCCCATGAAACACATCATGTCCAAATTTTGTTTCAAACGGTTTTACTTGCTGAAATCTCCTTCCTTTCTCTTCCATCTGTCAAGCTCTTGTTCATCCCTCAAGACCCACACAAATGTTCCCTTTTGTGAAGTGTTCTCTGGATTGCCAGATACACGAAGTGGCTGGCACCTTTTTAGACTTCTGCATCATTGCATGCTGTTGTTGTTGCTAATTGCCGTCAAGTCAGTTCTGACTCATAGCAACCCTGCATAGGGTTTCCAAGGAGTGGCTGGTAGGTTTGAACTGCCGACTTTTTGGTTAGTTGTTGTGGTGGTTAAAGTGCTGTCAAGTCAGTTCTGACCCATAGCGACTCTGAAGAGGGTTTCCGAGGCTGTAAATCTTTATGGGAGCAGACAGCCTCATCTTTCTCCCGTGGAGCAGCCGGTAGTTTCGAACCGCTGACCTTGCAGTTCGCAGCCCGATTCGTAACCACTACGCTACCAGAGTATGGTGCTTTTCCTATTGGCAGCTTGATTATAGAACCCTGTGCAGTCATTTTCAAGATTACTCCACTATGTTTCTTCTTCTCAAGAGACCTCAAGTGACCTCCTCAAGGGCAAAATCCATTTTCTCCTATTGCATAATGTTTGGCATCAGGGAATAATCAATGAATGAACGTTCTACCAGATTAAAAGAAATCTACTTAATCAATGTTGTTGTTGTCAATTGCTTTTGAGTCAGTTCCAACTCATGGGTTTCCAAGGAGTGGCTGGTGGGTTTGAACCACTGACCTTGCGGTTCAAACCAACATTGTAGTTCAGCACATTATCCTACATCACCGCACCAAGATAACAGGAGATAATGGTAAATTCTACTGTGGTGGTGGTGGTGGTGGTGGTGGTGGTGGTGGTGGCGTGCCATGGAGTTGGTTCCGACTCATAGTAACCCCGCACACGGTTTCTGAGTCTATCAATCTTTATGGTAGCAGAAAGTCTCTTCTTTCTCCCATGGAAACACCGGTAATTTCAAACTGCTGATCTTGAGGTTAGCAGCCCAACACATAATCACTACACTACCAGAGCTCCTAAATTCTATCATAGGAACCCCAGACTACAAAGTCATTCTACTAGAGGATGGCTAAAATAAAATCAGCTCTAATGTTTAGCATAGTTGGAGCCATAATTTTGTTTATTTGTATCACTTTGGCTCCAGACTCCCTTACGTTGTGTAACTTTCTACTTATTTTTAGAAGCTGAGCTACTTTTTTGAAAATAGGCGCAAAAATACAAGGGAAAGTTAAAAAGTATTGCTATAAAATCACAGAAATTGTTATTAAATAAGCTATCAAAATGAGAAATTATTATTTCTCAACAAGCCCTCCATCTAGGTTTATGAATTTCTGAAGGAACTGTTTCCTTTTCTCTAACTATTCACCAAAGAATTCTGTGATCTTAGATTCACATCATGTCAAAATGACAGTTTGGGCATCCTCAAGGGATTCAAAGCATGTTCCTTTGAAATGTTCTTTGAGTTTGGGGAACAAAAAGAAATCGGAAGGGTCAAGATCAGAGCTGTAGGTTGGATGGGGTAAGGTATCTCAATGAAATTGTCATAGGACAGTCCCTCAAAGAATGAGCAGGTATATTGTCATGATTGGGGGTGGGTGGGTAGGGGGAATTATTCATCTGGTTCCATCCTTCACAATGCATAAACATTCTCAATACTTCCATTCTGGTGGTTCTGTTTCCATGAATCTCATTTCCCTACCCTCTTATATTCTTATCTTTGTTTTAAATTAATTGTCAATACATTTGCTCACATACAAGTGAGCTTTTAAAGGAACATAGTAGTCAAGAGTAGTATCCTTTCTTTGTGGGTCAATCTGTTATTTAACTAAAAGGTGACCTCAGGAGTTAATTTCAGTTCAAGTTTTAAATGGTATCTCAGGGCAATGGGCTCAGGGAGTCTTCCTATCTCATCCAGTTCAGTCAGTGTGGGTTTTTTGTTTTCTTGTGTATTTGAAGTTTGATTCCACAATTTTCTTTCATTTCATCAGGGTCTATTTATTGTGGCCCATATTAGAATGTTGGTAGTGGTAGCCTGGTACTGATTCTGATCTCAGAGTAGATGAAATCCATGATTCACATAATCTAAAAAATTAGTCCTGTAAACTAGTTTCTTCTCTGAGTCAGGTTTCTTTCTTTCTCTTTCACTCTGAATGAGTAGAGATCGATAACTGTACTAATCCTTCAAACCAAGGAGACCATCCCCTGAGGTGTTTGATTATGACTTAGAGGTGTTCTATTAGATGGGATTTTAAAGGACATCTATTAAAGGGCAGCATCAATGGACTCAAGCATGGCAACAATTGTGAGGTTGGCCCAGGACCAGGCAGTGTTTCATTCTGTTGAATGAATGGGGTCGTTATGAGGTGGTACCGACTTGATGGCACCTAACAACAACAACAACAACCAAAACAAAAATAATGAATGAGAGACACCTACCACTATCACCCACACAGGCCTTGAGTCTCCTCTACATGCCCAGTTATCATTCAAAAGTGATGGAGTAGAAATCATCATTTTCAATTTTGTTAGAAAGTATTTCTTTGCAAAGAACCAAAATCTATTTCTGTATAGACTTTATCCATTGATCTTAGCTTTTTGGAGTCACAAAGAATAAATCTAAAATTATTTCGCTTTTCCAGGCAGAGGGCTTAAGTTATCATATACTATCTTTGGTTTCTGGTGAAAGAGTAATTAAAGAGCCTAGTTATCACTTCATCTGAAAAGTAGACCAAAAAAATGGCAAAGATTTGCAGATACCTGGCATACCAACTGATCATTAAGGAGGTTTAATGAATAGAAGATAATGACTCAGTGCCTTTGAAGACCAAAATGAAGCTCTCTGTGCAGTGACAAACAGCCATTGTGAAGTGTCTTAATTTGACAACAAAACAACCTAAACCTCTTTTATGAAGTGAGGAGTATGTCTCAGGTAATAAACACTTAAGTAATTAGATAGTTTTTATGGAGATTGCTATATACTGAAATATGGGGAAAGAAATCTTGGTAATGGGCCAACGCCCAGGGAGGTGGGTATATAAGGGCCAGCTCAGAGAAGAGGAGCATTGAACCACCAAGACACTTCTCCTCTCAACCAAACAAAACCCAACTCCTGAAACCATGTCCTGCTGTGGAATCACTTGCCAGCGCTGCTGCAGCATCCCCACTGGTCCAGCCACCACCATCTGCTCCTCTGACAAATGTTGCCGGTGTGGAGTCTGCCTGCCCAGCACCTGCCCACATGATATCAGCCTCCTTCAACCCACTTGCTGTGACAATAGCCCCGTACCCTGCTGTGAACCTGACACCTACGTGCCAACTTGCTGGCTGCTCAACTCTTGCCAGCCCACCCCTGGCCTGTATGGCATCGACCTGACAACCCACGTTCAGCCTGGTTGCCAAAACCCCTGCACACCCTGCTGTTAACCAGTGACACTTTACAGAGCTTCAGTGACATGGCTGCTCAACATCGACCTTCAACACTCGCTACTGCCTAAATCCATCCTAACTGTCAAGCCATGCTTTCATGAAGATGCTCAAACTCTCCATTCTTCTGCTCCTGTGGGAAGACCTTCTTTCTGTCTTTTGAGCTATTTCACTGTTCTTGGAGAAATCATTCTTTTAACTAGCTAATAAACTTTATTCTGGCTTAGCAAATACAGCCTAGTGATTATTTATTTCCATGTTTCTTCCAAGTAAAGTAAATGCCTACCTACACCCATTGCCACTGAGTCAATCCTGACTCATGGCAATCCTGCCAGCCTTTGTGGGAGCAGAAAGCTTCATCTTTGTCCTGAAGAGTGGCTGGTGGATTTGAACTAGCATTTAGCAGTTCAGTGTCTAGACCACTGATTAGCACACTACCCAAGGTTTACCCCAACAGAATAAGAGCTCTCATGGTGGAATTTCTGAAAAATAAGATATTGGCCCTTTGTGCTATGTTGAAATGTGAAAAATGTAGTAAGTCATTGTATACAAGATACTGACAAGTCAATTCCACTGCGTGCCAAGCCCGTGGGTTTCAGAGTAGAACTGCACAGAAGATTTTCAATGACTGACCTGTCAGAAGTAGACCGCCAGGTTTTCCTTTTGAATCACCTTTAGGTATATTCCAACTGCCAACGTTTTGGTTAGTAACCAAGCACTTCATTGTGTGTATTACCTCAGGACTCTAATGTTGTTGTTGCTGCTGCAAAGTGTCGTACAGTCACTTTGGACTCATAGTGACCCTGTAAAGAGCTTCCAAGGAGCTGTTGGTGAGCTTGAACCACCAACCTTGTGATTCAGGGCTTTATCCCACAGTGCCACACCAGGTCTCTGATAGGTACATTTTATTTACTAGATACATTTCAAAAGCCATATGTTGAAGACATATCTTCTGCTAGTACAGTCAGAATGTTCCTTAGGCGTCAGAATGGTGAGACTCTGACTCATGTACATTGGACATACTATCCATGTATGGAGGAGGAGCCATCCATGAAGAAAGACATCATTCCTAATAAAGTAGAGGGTCGGCAAAAAAAGAGGAAAACTCTCAATAAAATGGGTTAGCACAGTGGAAACAGTGCATTCAAACACAGCAACAGTTGTGAGGAGGATGCAGGGCCAGGAAGCATTTTGCAAAAGAACCAGTAGATCCGTTTTAGAAGAAGTGCAGCCAGAGTGCTCCTTGAAGGCCAAGATGGCCACACTTCGTCTCTCATACTTTGGACATGTTGTCAGGAAGGACCAGTCACTGGAGAAGGATATCATGTTTGGTAAGGTGGAGGGTCAGAGAAAAAGAGGAAGACACACACACACCACCCCCCAACGAGATGCATTGGCCAAGTGGCAGCATCGATGGACTCAAGCGTGGCAACAGTAGTGAGGTTGGCTCAGGGCCGGGCAGTGTTTCGTTCTGCTGTGCATAAGGTCGCTATGAGTTGATACTGACTTGATGGTATCTAATAACAACTTGGGGTTACTGTGAGTCAGAACTGACTCAACATCACCAAATAGAAACAAATACACACACATACACACACACACACACACGTTGTTAAGTGTCGTCGAGTCAGTTCTGACTCATAGTGACCTTGTATAGGGTTTCCAAGGAGTGGCTGGTGGGTTTGAGCCACCAACATTGTGGTTAGCCGCCCAGTGCTTATCCTCCAATGCCACACTGGACTCTCTCTGTCTCTCTCTATATATATATAGTCCTGGTGTGGCACTGTGAGCTAATGCATGTTACTGCAAAGTTGGGTTGAACCACAAGGTTGGTAGTTCGAACTCACCAGCAGCACCTTGAAAATCCTATGCAGGGTCACTATGGACCAGAACCAACTCGGTGGCACTTAACAACAAAAACAAAAAAGACTAGATAGAGTGATAGATGGTGGTAGTGCCGTGGAGTCAGTTCCGACTCATAGTGACCCTGCATTGGATTGCCAAGATTGTAAATCTTTACGGGAACAGAAAGCCTCATCTTTCTCCAGCGGAACCACTGGTAGTTTCGAACTGCTGACCTTGAGGTTAGCCACCCAACTTGTAACCACTACACTACCAGAGATCCTTAGATAAACAGATATAGATATAAGATATAGATAAAACAGTTCACTATATATGTATGTATGTGCATATATATATATATACACTCACACATATATATGGTAGATTGGTAGAGAGCAGAAATCATGGCAACAGGTTTTTTTTGATGCTCAAGGCATTTTGCTTGTTGACTTTCTGGAAGATGAAAGAATAGTAACATCTGCTTATTATTTAAGAAAGTTAGCCAAAGTTATAGCAGAAAAGCGCCGGCCTGCGTACACGTTTCAGAGAGAGTCCTTCTTCACCAAGACAAGGTTCTGGCTCGTTCCTCTCATCCAAAAGGGCGCTTTTCTGAAGGCTTTGAAGGGGAATCATTAGGCATCCACCTTGCAGTCCTGATTTGGCTCCTTCTGACTTCTATTTTTTTCTTAATCTTTAAAAATCCTTTAAGGGTACCCATTTTTCTTCAGTTCATAATATAAAAGGAATGCATTGACATGGCTAAATTTCCAAGAACCTCAGCTCTTTAGGGAAGGACTAAATGGCTAGTGTCATCACTCACAAAAGTGTCTTGACCTTGATGGAGCTTATGTTGAAAAATAAAGTTCATACTGTTTATTTTTATCTTTTAATTCCATTTTTCCATGCACTTTTTGAAGTCCCTTTGTATGTGCTTTTTCCAAATGGCTTTTTTAAATGATTTTTTTTTCATTACCTCATTTCTGTTCATAACAACATATATAAGTACAAGGGAGAGTTTTAGAATTAATATAAGATAACTATGGATACCACAACAAGTTAAGCTCTGAGTCTCAGTTCTCAAATCACTAAAATGGGTTGGCTGAACAGATCCCCACAAAAGTCACTTTCAGTTTTAACATTCAATGATTCTAGATCATTCAGAGACATATAAGTAACAAATATTACATATAATAACCAGCCCTAACACATTTTATTACTTTACTGCTTTCATTAGTAATAGTTGTTAAGTGCTGTTGAGTCTGTTCCTACCCATAGCGACCCTGTATAGAGTTTAAATCTTCACAGGAGCAGAAAGCCTCATCTTTGTCCTGAGGAGCAGCTGGTGGACTCAAACCAGAGACCTTCTGGTCCAAAGATGGCCAAACTTCAGCTCTCAGACTTCGGACATATTGTCAGGAGGAACAAGTCGCTGGAGAAGGACATCATGTTTGGTAAGGTGGAGGGTCAGAGAAAAAGAGGAAGCCCCCCAATGAGATGAATTGGCCAAGTGGCAGCATCTATGGACTCAAACGTGGCAAGAGTAGTGAGGTTGTCCCAGGATCAGGCAGTGTTTCCTTCTGCTGTGCATAGGTCGCTGTGGGTTGGTACCAACTCGATGGCACCTAACAACAACAGCAACAATGGCTAATGGCACCCTGGTGTGACACTGTGGATTAATGTGTCAGATTGCAAAGCCATTTGAACTGCAAGGTTGGCAATTCAAGCTCTACCTCCATCTCTGGCGTCCTGCACTCCGTTCTTCTCCCTTGATGGTCCCAGGGACCTCCGCTCCTGGACTGCAAAGTCAACCACTTTACTCCTTTTGCTACAAAACATCTCTACCTTTACATTATTCACTCTTATACCACATGAGTGCTATCCCCATCTCCTTTCATCAGCCTCACCCTGACAGATTGGATGCTATTCAGTGGAGATTCCTCCGCACCCTCTGGATCTAGGCTCCCTCTTGAAATCTTGTAAGCCAGTCACTTCTTGCCTTTGTAGCCCCCTCACCCACCCTATTTTGGGTAGCCAATGTCCAAGTTGCCCATCCCTGTCTACCCTGTGTATCTAAGGGGTGGGAATGATCCTCGCTGTAAAGATTTGTTCCCTCTTTTGAGCTCCTGCATCCATAGGTGTAGGTCAAGTTCATCAAATTGTATCAGAGTACTCTTTTTTTCCTTTTCTTTCTTCTTCTAGTTGAGTTCTGATCATCCAGCCATTAAAGCCAGGTCATGTGGGTATTATCTGCAAGTGTGTGTATTCTTGTGCATATGCCCTCTCTTCTTATCAGTTAGACACTTCACTCTCCACTCTAATCCTCTGTGGGTATTTCACTGATTCTGGTCCCAGGAGTTCCCAGGACTTGCCATATTTCTGGCCAACCAGGTCTTCACCCAGGTTCACAGGAGTCTATTGAACATGGTAGGACTTAGCTCACAGCTTCATTGCTGTTTTTCGCTCACTTCCCCTTATCAGTGACCAACGTGGTCACCAGTAAGAGCACATGTCTGCTCGTGTATTCCCATTGAGTCTTAGTCTTGGAAGTGGGTTTGCCCTGAGGGGACCCGACCACTTGCCTTGATGTCTCCTGGGTGAGCCTCTTGCTTGTTCTTGTAGTAATCAGTCAGACTTCTGTTATTGTTTTGTATTTTTCCTGTCAGTCTTTCTTTCAAGAAGTATTTTCTGTTCTTCTAGCCGCTCCAGGCTAGACTGCTTAGAAATTTCTCACCACAGAAAATTCTGGATGGGGTTCAGGATTCCACCTATGGTCTTATGTAATGCAGAGGCTCCACAGGAAGCCTCCTTCACTAGGCAAGTTATAGCCCCATTTTAGGTATTCCAATCAGTTATAGGCAGAAGATGGACTTACAAGCTTTCTATGGTGATATTTCTGGCTATCCTTTTTGTCCCCCTCAAGTGTCTATTATATAATGGTATGCAAAGGAAACCAATACTCATGTCATTGGATTTATTGACTGCTGCTTCCATGAGCATTGATTGTTGATCAAATCAAAATGAATTCTTTGACAACTTCAATCTTTCCTCCATTTATATTGACGCTGTTTATTGGTCCAGTGGTGAAGATTTTTGTTTTCTTTACTTTGAGGTGCGACCCATACCAAAGGCTGTGGTCTTTGATCTTCATCAGTAAGTAT